AGCAGCCTCCAGGACTCAGCCCAGGCCCTGGAGTGACACCCCCTGAGGGGCCACGGGATGTCCAAGCCCCAAACACACAAGTCCCTCCGGAGGCTGAACCAGAGGCGCGGCCAGCGCACAGCGGCTGGCACATGGCCCAGTCCTTCAGCCCGCCTCCCCACCCACAGTGGCTCCTGACCGCCCTCCCCGGGAGGACCCTGCGGTCACTTAGCAGACAGCCGCCAGCTCTCTGTGTGCCGGGCTCTGTGCTGTGCTGGAGGCGGAGGGGCGGGGGCAGATGCGGTCTCACAGGTGCCAAGAGCAGGGCAGGTGGCGCCTGTGCGCTGGCGAGGGAGGTGAGCCCCCAGGAGGAGGCTCTGGCTGCCCCACAGGCTGAGCTTCCCAGGGGCCCGGGGAAAGGGATGTCCAGGCAGAGAGCCGCCGGACCGGGTGGAGGTGGGAGGCAGGAACCAGGACACATGGTGGTGGGTTGGTGGTGAAGGGAGAGGTCCCCCGATCGTGGGATCTGGAGGGACTGGGAAACATGCCATGGGATGTGGTCTCAGACTGGCCTGGGGAGGTCTGCAGGGTGAGTGACTGGCAGGCCTCGTGTCTGCAGGGTGGGCGGTGCACCAGGTCAGAGGAGGGGCCCAGGGACCTGCCAGGGTCCAGGCCTCATGTCTGCAGGGTGGGCAGTGCACCAGGTCAGAGGAGGGGGCTTGCCAGGGTCCAGGCAGGAGCTGAAGGCCAGAGGCAGTGCCTGAGGGGCTGCACCGGAGAGGACGTGGGAGATGCGATGCTGCCCGAACAAGTGTAAGCAGGCTGCTCTCCTGGGGTTCACGGTCTAGGCTAGGGGCACCCGCAGGATGGCGATTGGAGTGATGGCGGGAGGGGGTGAAGACAACTGACCGCTGGGTGACCAGCCTTTTTGCTCATTGGTTCCACAGGAAGGTGAACCGGTGGGGCAGGACCATCAGTTGGGTGAGAATAAGGAAGCCTCGGGCAAGTCAGGAAGGGCGCCCGCACGCCCGCCAGACCTCCGTCCTCCTCCGGGAGCTGCCAGAGTCTGGGAGGCCGAGGGGTGGGCGGGGTGCAGGGGTGGGGACAGAGCAGGAG